TAATATTATACGGAATAATATCGTTTCTCGGCCTGCGCGTGTCCTGATATCTACGGTATTTTCGATGTTTTGTCGCGTAGTTTTACGCTCTCTTCCGACTACTTCGGTCCACGTTTTAAACTTTTGCCGACCCACAAACCGCGGTGTATCCGATATTATTCGGCGCCTATTATCAAAATTATCGTTTAGACAAAAACAGGCATTCTCTTTTTTCAACCGGAATTTAAAAACTCCGGGACACTATATTGGAAAATATATATATATATATATATATATATATATATAGTTGATATTATTTTTTATGCGTTTGTGCAAATACCATACTGTACTTAACCGTCGCGGAATTATTTTACTGTTATTATTATTATTATTATTTAGATTCGTGTCGTACACTCGCCAAAACGCATCCATATTGATACTTGTTCACTTACACTCGCGCCACACACACGTTATACAGGCGCGTTATGTACAACCGTCTACAATATAAAAAAAAAAAACATATCGCCGTTACATAAATTAATATTACATTGTCATTGCGGTAACTATTCCCACGGACTCGAGCACTTTGCGTCGTTCGAAATCAGTTCACGTTTTACCGATTAGTTTTTCCCATCGTATGCTATATTATACCGGACGAATGGTTTTGTTGCTGTTTGTTGGGAAGTAGAGCTGCGAATCATTCGCATTATCGTACGAGCGAAACGATCATTCGTTTTCAACCGTTTACGACAATCGTGCCAGTATACACCAATAATATTACAATATTGGGTAACGGGGTCCCGTCAGCCGCGGTCTACAAAAAAGTAGTTTTATTTTTATCGGGATCCCCAGGCAAAAGCGTCGATTTATTAATGTCAGCCAGTCCTAAACTAATGAACGGATTTTAATGAAACTCGGAATTACATTATCGCGATAGCCCGAAGAGTGTACACACCGTCTAATACTGTGAACCGTTCTGGTGGTGTTTTCGTTGCGACAACTACAACATTAATTGTTAATTTACGAGCTTAAAGTGCACGTTAGGGGTCGAGTGTAGGCAATTTACACGCTATTGTTTGAACGATAAAATAGTCCTGGGGGAGGTGGTTCTGAAAAAGTAACGCGATCTCGTAAGTTTTATCTCATTCATTCAAACAAATTCATCTCCCGGCGATTTCGGTAGAAACCATTACTATTGGCAGGCCCGCCTCAAAGCAAAAGTTTTAATACCGAGTCTTTTTTTGACGATTATTAATGTTATTTTGTCGCTTCAATTCCTTTAAAATTGTAAACTGCCCTAAAATAATGCACGGGACTGATTATTGGTTACGTACATTTCATCATTCTCGTGAAATCTATTCCATTTCAATTATTCAATATAACACTGTTAAATAAATCTTGGTATATGTGTTCCGTAATTAACGAAAACTCGGACCCGGTATCAAATATGAAAAACTACACAATTTTGGTAAAATCTCATGGATTACACTATTAACTGCGATTTAAACCGCAATGATTTTATATCGTTTTGTCGCATTACTTACCAAATATATATTTATATCATTAATACTTCACATTAAATGGCCGTAATGGTTTTAATTTCAGAAAAAAAGTAACATTTTATAAATCATTCGTATCCGTTCTGCGTCTAACTCGACTGCGTGTTTAATTTATCCAATAAAAGTCTACAGTTATAAATCGAGTCGACATGTCTATTTGTGTAAAATAACTCGACGAAATTTATTAATATTTAGTATAATGTCATATCATTTGTGGCGAAAATACAAAAACGAACTTATTACGTTTTCAACTATTTAACCAAAGAAGGAACTGTATAGTTTCTATGACGCCAATCGAAATCGGCGAATCTCCGTTGATTCGGGTCCATAAACCGACAATAGTCCGGTCGTAAATGACAGAAAACTATATAAGACATGCCCGTACTAATATCAAAAGAAGCTTAGAATGGCGGCCAATTGAGAGCGATTATCAAACCAATTGTAGTAAATGTGCTCTCCTAGCGCTTACGCGATTAATATACCTATTTTATTGGATTCATAGAATATATTGATCTGTTCCGCGCTCAAACCAAATTATTTAAAGTATAAATTGTTTTAAATTATCACGGTAAAATTTGAATAATTGTAATACAAAATATCTGTCATGGACCGGAAAATAAAGTACCACAATTTCTTGTCGTTCAATAACCGAAAATGTCAGGCCGTGTCCTATTATTATTCCTTTATTATCCTTCTAGTCGAAACGTGCCGAATTTCATCTCGCGCATCAGATTCACGTACGTCTTGTAAACTTCTTGTCATCCAGCACAAACATTTTCGGCAGGTTACTGACTCGGGCATCACAATGTAAAATTGTTTGAAACAAAAATGTCCACAAATCAGTACCAATTCGTAATAATTCATAATTACAAATTTGGAATTTGTAACGCGAGTAGTTACTAACCGTTCGTACTGCTACAGTCACTGTATGACCGTCTTTAAAGTTTTAAGGTAATATTATTATTATTTTTTTTTATATAGATTCAACTAACCTCGGCAAAGGGAAACGTCGGCCGGTTATACTTGAGTTACGAACTAACCTGTTTATGAACTCATATCTTTCGTTTCAAAATGTTTACTCTGCGAGTGACTTAATATATGTTCGGTGATTTTCTCGCGCACAGTCATATCAATCGGCTACGTGCAAGAAAATAAACGCAGAAAATTTCTTCTTGCGACGACTGATATAAAAAAAAAAAAAAAAAAAAACAAAAAAAAAAAAAAAAAAAACCAACCCTTCCCGCCATTCTTTTATACACTCTCGCGATGTACTACACGATCGTATGTACATAATATAATAACAATAATAATAATAAAATGTTTATCGGTTATCTCGGGGACCGCGGTGCACGTATACGCATACTGTAAATGTGCGATGTTCGGTTATTACCGAAAACGTCGCGAGCGGTTCGCTGTCCCCCGAAATGTTCCGTTTCAATTTCTCGTCGGGACATAACCATAAAACAAAACAAAAAAAAAAACAAAAAAAAAACCCCGGAAAACCGACGAGAATTTGGTTAACGACAACGATATGTGCGTTTTCGCCGTCGATATAATTCTATAATATAATATATCTCTATACGCACACTCTCGTATACAATACCGTATTATGTAGGACCGCATTTACGTTGAGATTCTCCGGGGACAAATTATTCGGCGCGGCGCGTGGTAAATTTTCCAGCGAAAAAAAGGAAATGGCTTTTCTATTTCACCACGTCTTCGCCACCGCGTTCGGTCGCGCACAAACGATAACCGAACCATACCGTGGTAACCGCTATAACCGCTATAAAATCCGCGCCTGAACGATATTCGATATCCAATCCCGGAGAGTCGTAATATAATATTATATTATACGCGTGCGTCGTATAATGCGCGGGTGTCACATAGTAACAATAATAATATACGACGTGATCCGTTTATCGCGAACCGGCCGTGATTATCACAATATCTGTACACCGGGCACGAAGGTTTCGAGTAAATTCGATTTCGGTTGTTTTTATTTTATTCTAGAAATCGTGAAATCCTGAGCGGTATAGATTTGATACCCCCTCTCTCTCACCCCGTCTACAAATACCGGTGGACATTTTCCGGCCCTAATTTATTTTCCAACACTTAACTACGACAATAAACGAAAACCAGAGCACTATCTTTTCGGGGCACGGGGCTAATTCTTTGGTGGAGCCCTTAAATTAAATTATAAATTCAGTTTTTTCTCTTATTCAGTTTTGTAACTTAACAATCAATTATAATAGAACAAATTTTTTATCTCCAATTTTTAGATTCTGAGCGGAGTCAGGAATATATTGTTTTTACAACAATGTTTGTTTTCTTTTTTCTGTAGACAACTTTTCTATCAGCAATTTCGCTCCAATTTTCAACTATAGCACTTTTTTTCAAAGGAAATCTGACTGGAGTGGTACTTCAAGAGGTAATTTTATTATTTTTACAAAAGTTTTTCCAATAAATTGGAGAAAAAGGTAAAAACAGGAGAAAACGGGAAAATATTATCAAAGAAAATATATAATGAACATGTAATTATTTTACCATGATGCGACATATATATTATATTTTTGACAAAGCAACACTATTAACTAAACTTCGCTGAGAATCGTTTTTCGTTAGCAATGGCTAATTATTATGTACAGATATAGATTGAATTTCTCCGTCACCTTCCTAACTTCTCATCTACAGCAGTGGCCCACTCATGTGGCAAAGTATGTTCGTCTTTTTTATTTTACAAATATTTGAATTATTTTCATCTGTATTATCCGGGAATTATTTTTTATTACTTGTTTTTCTTTATTATCAGTGTAAGATAAAATCTTTGTTAATAATTCGTTTGTTTTTTTTTTCAAAATTCACGATTTCCCAACTTTATCTTTATCTTTTGTTTCATTCCGAATTTTTATTAAATACGTTGTACTTAAACAAAAATAATTTTAAAACTAATATAGTGTATATATATGGGGGCCCCTTATTATGTCGGGGGTCCGGGACCGTAACTCGCTTAGCCCCTCTCTGAGTAGGAGTCTAACGATAACCAATATATTATATAAAATAAAATGTCCTGACTGACTGATTTATCATCACCTAGTATTAACCACTGGACGGATTGGACTAAAATTTGACATATAGCTATTGCACAGCTATTATGATGTGAGCATCCGCTAAGAAATGATTTTTGAAAATCTAACCGTGAAGGAGGCAAAATAGGTTTTTTTTTTTCGGTACGAATATCTAATTGTTTATTTATTTATTATACATTTTCATACTTCTATATTTTTAGATTATATATTTTATACTTTTTACATATTTTTATACTTCTATTGGGCGTACAAATAGAAAATTGCCGTTTTTTCTCATAATTTAAGGCTTTATTGTAAAAAACTCGTCACATACTCATTCTTCAAAATACTTTCTATCACTAGCCACATGAAAGACGGTAAAAACACCGTCGAAGAGTTAAGGACGTCGAAAAAATTGTTCGTCTTTTGACACGATCCACGAATCGATCCAATTTTTGGCTTCGGCGTAAGAACGAAAGTGCTGTTCGGCCTGGTCATGCGTCATCACTCGGAATAAGTAGAAATCAGAAGGGGCGATGTCAGGGGAGTACGGCGGGAGGGGTAGTATGTCCCATTTCAAAGTTTCCAGGTATGTTTTCACGACCTTGGAAACATGCGACCGAGCGTTATCATGCAGAAGTATTATCTTATCGTGTCTTTCCGAATATTGCGGGCGTTTTTCCTTCAACGCTCGACTCAAACGTATACGTTGCGTCCGATAGAGGACTCCTGTAATGGTTTCGCCTGGTTGCAAGAGTTCATAGCACACTACGCCAAGCTTGTCCCACCAAATACACTGCATCAGCTTCGAGCCATGAATGTTTGGTTTCGCTGTCGAAGTTGATGAATGGCCGGGAAGCCCCCACGATTTTTTCCGCTTCGGGTTGTCATAGTGTATCCAATTTTCATCGCCAATCACGATGCGATGCAAAAAACCCTTTCTGTTTTGCTGTTGGAGGAGTTGTTCGCATGTGAAAAGGCGCCGTTCAATGTCCCTTGGCTTCAACTCGTANGCATGCTGAGTCACGCCCAATAAATTTGCAAGTTCCCGTTGCGTTCTACAAGAATCTTCATCCAACAAAGTCTCCAATTTTGCGTCCTCGAACTTTTTCACGGGTCCGGGACGTTCCTTGTCTTCTACGTCATATTCACCATTTTTAAACTTATGAAACCATTCCCGACACGTTCTTTCACTAATACAACGTTCACCATAAGTTTCTACAATCATTCGACGCGCCTGAGCTGCATTTTTTTTTGAATGAAATGCAAAAAGTAAAACTTCCCGCAAATGATTCTTACTCGGCTCGAATTTCGCCATTGTCGTGAATGAACAAAACAAAGCACAGTAAAAATAGACGAGCGAGATTTTGTAGAGTTGTTGACTGATGCCTCAACTGGCTATATAACGTTTCTTATCGCACTTATCTATCGATTGACCTTGCTGGTGCAACCTATGGAAAAACGGCGGTTTTCTATTTGTGTAACCAATATATTTTGGTAATAAATCTTACCTTGGTGATACGGGATGAAATAACGAACAAATTTTTAATACTGTTATTTGGGTAGTTTTGATCAAATAAAAAAACATAATGGATACTCGGCGTGTTCCACAACGTTAAAAAAAGAAAAAAATCTTGTTATCTTAATTGATAATTAAAGTATCTATTCGGAAAAAAAAATTCGAATATTCATCAGCAGTTTTGAATGTTAAAACAAATTAAAAGTTAATACAGTTAAAACAAATAACAAAAACAAAAGTGAGACTTTTATTCTTCATTTTTCCATTTTTAACGTAGTTTTTCGCATTTTTAATTCTTTTTTTATGGACGGTATTTTACTAAAAGTCATTTTTTGAAAAATTTTTCGACGATTCCACGAGACAAACAAAGCGTAATTGCAGAATAAAACATAACATAAATGTTATGATAATATAACATATTCAGTTTTAATTGAATTAATGAAATATAAAACCAATAAAATCCATTGACCTAAAAAACATCGCCAGTAACCCGTATAATAATTACAATTATTACAATTATTATTATTCAGTATAATATAATATTTTAATCGTGTACACTTCGATTATTTTATTCAATATTTATAATATACCTACGTTCGAATTTAATTGATGATTTCTCTATACCGTGTTGCAACACACCGTCGAATGTATTAATTTATTTGTGTTATTTTTATCGATAACTTAATGTTATTGTAACGTTTACAAATGCATTAGAAAAACGATACACGAAAATAATTATAATAATTATAATTGAACTTGGTAGATAATACTCATGCGCTTGAGCATGTTTTAAATGTAATATATTAAACTCATGAACGGTATTCACTTACTTTTCCCCGGGTGATAAGAAAACGGTAAAAATAAAACTTCAAAACGAAACTCCAAACCTGATACTGTTCCAATGAAGATAATGTCCTGAGCGTAAACCTAAAAATGTTAACGGTTGAACAAACATGTCGGGTGCGAACAAAGGGAGTGCGTAAAAGGCGAAAGCTACTTCGGGTAGGTGGTGTGTCACATTTCGAAGTAGATAAGTCTATAATCTTGTCTATCCCGGTCCGCAATCGCCAATTCATATGGCACACTTGCAGACGTATTCCCCTGAAAATATCAAATCAAAATATCGGGTATTTTTTTCAAACCCAAAATCCAAAATTCTTATACATCCTCAGCCGATGAACGAAATCGACGTTTTACCTAACCGAACCTTGGCCGATACACGACACTTGTAGAAATGTACTGACTTTTCAAAATTTAGTTTAATGCACCGAGTTTCACGTGCAGTAACGTGGACCATAGTTTCACGTAAAGTTTAGATTTCTTTCCGGTGATTTTTTTCGAAATTCCCAAAGGTTTTTTAAAAAAAAAAAAAAAAAACTCGACAAATTTCAAGTGACAGGTTTTATTTTTGTTGATTATTTGGACTTTCTGTGCGTTTGACCACGCTAATCTCGAGCACAACCGAATGGATTTGGACGTGGTTTTTCAACGTTATGCGGGACTAAAAGTGTAGCATTTTTTTTCGTCTCACGGTTCGACCGTTAAAGAGTGTTTGACACTTATTTGTCGACATATTTGTGGAATGCCACGGCGGCACGGATGAAACGAACGATTTTTATTGTTGTTCAACATGGTCGAGAGAAATACGGGCAACTACACTAGCAGGGCAGGACGGCTATTTTATATAATGGTATTTGTCTAGGTTAAATCGCTTTGTATAGAGTTTATTGTAGTTTTTGAATCAATGGCGGCAGTGACGAGGGATGGGTCGTCCGACCTTTTCACTATTGTAGACTTCACTTCCGGTCTCTTGACGCCTCGATCGCCGGTACGGCCGGCGTCGGCCGGATTTCTATAATGTCGGACACTTTTTACTATTCATCCGTTATCTGTTGACGCCCTGTACCTGACGCCGAGTCTCCGGCACAGTTTACGACCCGTATTGTAATCGCAGGTACCCCGGGATTAATATACTGAATAACAATAATAACGAAATGAAACGTCCACATACCTGCGGATTATTCGGCCTATCTACGAACGCCCGACCTTGTCCCTTTACGACAAATGGACGTATCAACCGCGTTTTTCGTACGGGAAAAATTGTATAAAATGTTGTGTACTATATCGGCCGGTTTGATCATCCGGGCGGACGGTTATAATTTTCGTCGCCATTGTCAGTCTGGTTTCTCCGCTCGACGGGTAAACTCACGTTTGCCGCGAGGTATTCCGAGGCGCGTACCGGTAACCGTTCGGCGCCATCGTTTCCGCGCGATCGTCACGTGAACCATTCGTACGGCACGGTCCGCCGAACGTCCGAGCCGCACCCGAGAAGAGTAACCCGCGATGGAGTTGACGGTCCCGCGCAAGAGAGTTATGTATTCGATCGAGGAAAGGGTATCCGCGGTGGCGTACCACTTGCTGGTCGGCGGTTTCCGGACCGAGACGGCCAAATACTTGAACGTGAACAAGTCGACGTTCAACAATTGGTGCACCAACAAGCAAATCGTCGCCATGGCCACGTTCAGACGTCGGTTTATCGACCTGGCGGCTTTCACGCGAGACCACCCGCGCGGGCCGACGGGACCGGAGCCCGCGGCCGCGGCCGGATCGTCCTCGGGTCCGGGCCAACCGCTCCAATTGAACGCCCATTTCATGCAGAAACAGTATTCGTACCAAGACGCGCATTCGCACGACAAGACAATGGTCGCCACCGCCGGCATATTGCAGGCGTACTGGAACGGTCGTTCCGCGAGTGCCGCGTTCGCGGTGGCCGGTGTCGTCGACGGACAACAGGCGTCCCCGTCCGCTGGATTCGGGTCGGCCGTTTCCGGTCCGTACTCCGACCCGACAATCGGCGCCGACGTCGAGCCCGGCGGTCTCGGCAACGGGGAGATTAAGTGCTTCGATCTGATGGCGCGCACGAGTAACGGGATGTAAGAGCCCGATCCCCGAACAGAACAAGAAACCGATAATTCGTTTTTTTTTAAAAAAAAAAAAAAAGGTAAATAATAAACAGAACGGACTGCGCAATATTATTCGTGTGGTATCGCGTTATTATATTAAAATAAGTAATGTATTTTGATTTATTTTTTTTTTTTGTATTCATCCCGTTATTTTATAATAATGTTTGATAAGTTTTCAATGATTTGATCAAATTACGGTTAAAATGTATTCTTTATTCGTCGATTTATTTACGAGTTAATAACTTATTACATCGCGTGTTTCGCGGGTTTTTAATAATTACAATTATTATTATTCTTAAGTTTTAATTTTTTGATGCATTTTTGTTTGTTATTATTATTATTATTTTTTTTTCTGATTGTACTCACAAATAAGACACAAAATTATTGTCATCGGTTATGCCGAGTCATTTAGACTTCGGTTTCGTTTAATTAACTATACATTTATTAAGTATTCCGCTGTAATACGATTATTTTCATATTTTGTTTTTGTTTTTTTTTTTTTTTGCATGCGTATAATTCATTGTAAAATTATTTTCTTTTTTAAACAATAAACACGATACCACATCGTATAATTAACATTAAATTACCATTGTTGAACATTATTGAATTTTATTAATATGCATTAATCACGAAGGGTAACATCAGGGAAATAATTTTCGTCTAGATTAAAGACGAATAAAACCATTAAAGAATACATCTAAGGTAAAAGATAATAATAATAAACACATCAAGGTCATTCGTAAAAACGTCAAGACGTTATTGTTAGGCAAGTGGCTACCTAGTCCGGATTCAAAGCACATAATTAAATAAGCGAAATACTCATGTACGCGCGTCATTTTTCGATTACGAAAACCAAACTCCTATTTTAAAAACAATAATATTATGACATATTTGTGAATTAATTATCAAGATTTTCTCGAACGGTTAAAGAATTGTTTTTTTTCTTTCTTTTTCTTTTTTTATGACGAATTACAATGACAGTTCACACTTACTCGTGCCATCGTAAGAAAGCTTCTGGGCGGCGATCAAAATTTGTCACTTCTCGCGCACTCCCACCACTTAACCATTCCCGAACGCCGGCGGCCGTCTACTCTGGTCGCCGTCCTTGAAATGTGCGTCAGTGTTTGTATACAGCGCGTACCGGGAATATTTTGTCCGTAATTTTACGCGTTTGCGCGCACACGCAAAATTTTCGTTTTTGCGCGCGCGCTACCCGGAGAAGAAGAACGCCGTGTTCTGATGACAGGAACAGGTGATACAAGTTCTTCCGGTTGCGGCTCTGATCGATTTCATTGTGTTTTGACTGTTTCGATTTTTTTTCGTTATCATTTAAATTTGTTTTGTATTTTAATTAATTTTTGTTTTTACTAAATTGATATTATAAAGTGTATCATGTTACGTACAGTTATTCGTTTTTGTCGGTATACACGAATGAATGCGTACATAAAGTATCGATACGCACATGCATGCACTGTTTGCACTGTTGTTGAACACACAATGGGTGTCCCAGTCGCCAGGTATTATTTTTTGTTTTCGCGTTACGTTACTCGAGCCGGTGTATGCCGTGCGTACGGCGGCGGCGGCGGCGGCCGTGATTTTAGTCGCCGGTCGCGCGTAGCGAGTGGGGGGAATGTACGGCGGCGACTAGACGGCAGAGTGGGACAAAACCGCGGAGCCCGGTAATTCGGACGCGCGAACGAGAAGCGTTCTTACGGCGGCACTGGTATAGTACCGTTCTTCCTCCTTCGCCTTCATCCCGATTATTTAGGGTAAATTCCCAACTGACTCGATCTCCAACCGCGCCGGCTGTTCCCATACCGTTCTCAGTCACGTCCGACTACCTCTTTTCCGTGTTCTTCCGCGGCTCTTTCTTGCTTACGTTTATTTTCATTACTATTTTTACCTCTTCAAATTTCACTCTACTACCCGTGACTCGCCCGTGCGTATCTCAGTCGACTATTTCTCATACTCTTCCGCTAATGTTCTGTTTTAGTTCTTCTCGTTCTTAGTCCGTTTTCTTCATGCGCGACTTTCCATTATTCAAACCTATTGTTTACATTTAATAGATTCGCTCCTGTCAAAGCCATACCACCTGCAAACATCTTACACTGCGGTACCGACAGGTGCGTCATTTCGGATTTTTTTTTTTTTTTTTTTTTTGGGGGGTATTGTCGGGTTTTAATCAACCTATTTCGAAATTTCATCAAACCATATAAGAATAAAATAAATATACGAATATATACGTTGTCCTGCTTAAAATTATTCCCGCATGTCATGGACCGAATTATTGCACCAATATAAATAGTAAGAATCAATTACGAAACTAAAATATAGTAAATAATTAATTACCCTAACCGTGAAAAACAATAATTGATACAAAAAAGGCTAGAAGAAAAAGAGAAATAGCAGAAAAAAAAAAAAAAGAGCTGATACCGGGGGCGGGGGCAGCTACTGTTGTAGGTGGAAAGTTAGGAAGGTAGGATATATGAGATTATTTCGTTTACATCTGTAAGCAACGATAAACCATTGCTGATGAAAAACGATTCCGAGCGCAATTCGGTAATACATAATTTGAAGTGCCGTAATTTTTCCTTTCGATGATTTTGAAAATTTGACTACGTCTATTAAAGTCTAATTTAAATATTATTACTGTGTTTCAAGTCTCTACGTGTATTTATAACCGAATTACAGCAAAAAAAAACTCCCAAAAGTTAAAATTCCTTAAAAGCTAAAAAGTTTTTGAAATAATACTGTGAGACAGTAAATCAAAAACGCAACATAAAAGGTATCTTGTGATTTTTCGATAAAATCATTTTTTCTGGTAGAAAACGTCGTCCGTGTTATTAAAAAATAATGAAATCGTGAAATCGTACGTTTTCCCACTTCAGTGCTTTTATTTAAAAAATGGCGTCGAAAATCAAAAAACGACCTCTTTAAAGTACCATCTAGACAACTTGAGCATTCAGAAAAGTTGTTGCTACACGTAAAAACCGGAGCAAGTTTACTAAGAAAAAACACGTCCACAGACTAGAACAAAGAAAAAAAAAATACACTGCATTGTAAAACCAATAGTTCCCTCGCTATGTTAGGAATCTGAAATACAGTTAAAAAACTGTATAAGTTATATTGTCATAATACATTTTACATATTAAATACTTTCAAAATAATTAAAAGATTACTTCATTCATTGTAGATCTTAGATATGTTTTTAACCTTTTCAACGCGTTGCTGTTGACATTGGTAATGTACAAAATAATTTACAATAAAATGTACACTTGGCGAATCAATTTATAGGCAGCTATAAAAAGCGACAATCACTAATATTTGAAATATGAACACTGATAACAGATAAATTGACTAATACGATTATAGATGGAATCTTTAATCTATAATCTATTTATTTTTTTTTATTGCAAATAGGCAATTAAGGGCATTATAAATAATTTCTAAAAATAGCATTAACTTGTAACTTGAAACGTGAGTGAAAAGTCATTCGCAACCATTGACAGAGAATGCGACTGAAATAAAAGCGTATCATAATAATATATGGAATTTGAAAATAACAATAATCAGCACTGTAGAGATGCATGTAAAGAACCTCGTACCTTCAACGTTTCCGTGGTGTAGCGGTTATCACATCTGCCTAACACGCAGAAGGTCCCCAGTTCGATCCTGGGCGGAAACAAAATTTTTTTTTTGTTTTTTTTTTTATTTTTTCAATCGGTTCAATTAAAAGTTCACAAGGAAAAAACGTGTCCACAGACTAGAACAAAGAAAAAGAAGAAGAAAACAATAAACAACATTGTAAAACCAATAGCTCCCCCACTACGATCGAAATCTAAAAGTACTTAATGTCTACATTTATAAATAAAACAATTGTTTATATTTTATACATGAAATTTTGGTAAAAGCAAAGCGTTCAAAAAAAAAAATTAAAATATTTTTAATTTAAATAAGTGGTTACAGGCGATTTTTAAATTTAGCAAATATATCTACAGCTTCTTCTAGGTTGATTTCGTTAACTTTTTCTTTTTTAACATTAAGTACCATTAGTTCTTTTAGCCTTTTATCACCCACGGTAGCGCGTAAATATGATTTGACTTTTTTGAGCGATGAAAAAACCTTTCATTTGATGCCGTTGTAATTGGTAAAAATTACCATTGAAATGATTTGTAAAAAAAAACAAAAAAAGCGATAGGAAAATCTTGTAGGCATATTGCTATTGTGTCCAAATCATGTAATATTTATACATACATATAAGATTTATAAATAGTTTTAAATAAAAACTATCTGGATTAAAAATTTGGGACTGGAACGGTCGACAATTTCAAATAACTTAAATAAGTTATTGATTAGGTTACCAGAGTTGAGTTCCGACGAGTAAATCGTACTGGTACACACGTTCTGTGTTAGTAAAATTATACGAGGGCTAATCAAAAAGTATCAAGACTGGTAGTATCATTCAGAAAAGGAACATCGAAGAGCAGTAGGATTGGTATCACTTGTTTCTATGACTTTTTCTGAGTACATTTGTTTTTATTGCTTCTCTATAAAATTCTTCGGTTTGATTTCACTGATACTTTTGTAAAATGTATTTTTCGAGTTTGTCGATTTTGTAATAAACCCAAAAGAAGAGTAACTTGACAGNCATTTTTTTCCAGTTTCAGGGGGATGCAACATTTCATGGTTTTTGCCATTAAATTTCAATTGAAAAACTGAAAATGTGCCCTCGAGTGGCAGCAAGTCCCGGTTCTTTTGGATTCATTACGAAATCGCCAAACGTGAAAAACAAATTTTTGAAAAATATCGTCAAATCAAAACGAAGAAGTTTATAGAGATTTTATACGAATAGATGTGCTCAGTATAAGTCATAGAAGCTAGGTTTACAAATCGTTTTGCTCTTCAACGCTCGGTTTCCGAGTAATATTATCAGTCTCGATACTTTTTGATTAGCCCTCGTACTTCAACGTTGAT